ACACCCGGCTGATTTTTGGATTTATTGTAGAGATGAGGTCTCACCAGTTGCCCAGGCGGGTCTCGAACCCGCGGGCTCAGGCAATCCACTCGCCTCACCCTCCCAAAGCGCAGGATTACAGGCTGAGCCACTGAACCGGCTTGTCCTTTTCTTTTAATTACATTCTGCTTAGCTCATAAATAAAACTGTAACAACATGCTAAGCTATGGAGTTTGTAAATCCCCCCCGACACATTGTTCTCATTATAAAAATTGGCTTAATCCAGCTTGGTGGCTCAGCCTGTCATCCCGCGCCTTTGGGAGGCTGAGGTGAGTGGATTGCCTGAGCCCAGGGGTTCGAGACCTGCCTGGGCAACTTGGCATGACCTCATCTCTACAATAAATCAAAAAACTAGCCAGGTGTGGTAGCGCATGCCTATAGTTCCGGTTACTTAGAAGGCTGAGGCAGAAGGATCGCCAGAGCCCAGCAGGTCGAGGCTGCGGTGGCCGGGAGCGGCCACTGCACTCCAGTCTGGATGACAGAGTGAGACTCAAAAAAAACCAAAGTTGGCTTAAATGTTTCCAATGATTTTTTTCCTATGCACCTTTCATCTTGAAAATAATAAAAATAAAGTAAAACAACCCCCCCTAAACATTAAACAGCAAAAACTACCTGAGGCCCCAAATCCTAATGGGAAGATGACTCAATCTTCTCCTACCTTTTGGCAGAATTACTGGCATAATAAAGTGAATGCCTTCCCAGAGAAAACTGAATCAATCTTTTTTTTTTTTTGAGTTGGACTCTCACTCTGTCGCCCAGACTGGAGTGCAGTGGCATGCTCCCAGCCACCGCAACCTCGACTTACTGGGTTCAGACAATCCTTACGCCTCAGGTTTCCAAGTAGCTGGAACTACAGGTGAGAGCTACGACGCCCAGCTAGTTTTTGTGATTTATCGTGGAGACGAGGTCTCGCCCTGGTTGGTGTCGAATCCACAGGCTCAGGCAATTCTCTTGTCTTGGCCTCCCAAAGTGCTGACAGGCTGAGCCATCTTGCCTGGCCTAATCAATCCTTTAAATCTTAATGCATCTCAAATATGCTACCATGAAAGAGAAAGGAGAAACTGACGTTAAAGAAAACGGCTTGAGATGGAATTCAAGAAGCGAAGGAGCCGGAGAGATGGACAGACTGCTCCTTCCTCGTTGTCGAGGAACACAGAACCTTGGATTTCTAGATACTTTTTCTTTCCACAACTAAGAAAAAAAGACAGAAGCAGCACACAGAAGGCGCAGCGCCCGGTGCAGATCAGCAAGGGCCAGGAGCCCTGCTCAGTCTCCGCCGTAACCAGCCAGGGGGAACGGGGCCTCGCCTTTCTTAGGGGCACCTTCGTCACCGTGGAGGACAGCCAGTCACTCAGCAGTCGCCCATCGACGCCGCGAAGGCACCTTCGTGGAGCACAACGCAGCGGGGCCAGGCCCGAGGTCTTGAGTGGATGGGGGCCCATAAAATCAAGGAATGCCGTCTCTCCCACGAAAAAACCCTCTCCAAAACAGGCGTCTCTGTAGAAACCGCCACCGGGCCACGATGTTCACGGCCCGGGAGTGGGCACCCGAGGCCACCCCCGCCCCGCATGTCCGCGCGATGACTACGCACGCGCCCGCGTCCGAGAACGGCGAGGGCGACCCGCGGAGCCCGACCTCGCCCTTCGCGTGGAAGCAGCCGAACCCGGAGAGGAGGAGGGCTGACGCCGCCCCACATCTCTCCTTGGACCAGGGAG